AAAGTCCGCGAGACGTGCCTCACCGAAGCTTTCACCGTTATTATTTTCGAGATACTTGTCGTTTAAGAGATCAAAATCAGGATAGAAACAATCAGTTTTGGTGCCCCGGATGACAAATATAAAAATTCGAAATCGTATTAAATATAATTTTTCTTTTTGTAATTCCTTGCACTCGAGAAACTTTTTATGTAAAAATCAAAGTCTACGTTTATCAAAAGATATGTCACAATTAAAATGATATTTAGTATGGAGGAGATAAATAAAAATGCTAAATAAAGAGTAAATTATAAAAGAGTAAATTATAAAAGAGCAATGTGTTAGGTATTTTTGATATTGTAACGTCATGATAGATAAAAGAGATACTTTTTTAAATGCAATGGTGCCATATATTTGAACCCACCCCTGATTAGAACGATGTTGATGCGGCGATGTTAGCTAGAGAGCGGCGGTTGTTTGCCGAGTGGTAAAAGCATCGTTTTCTGTTTGTCCATCTCCTGCTGTCCGATGCTTTTGTACACATATTGCACGAACATCGTGCTCCTTCCTACAAACCGATTTCATACCGAAAGTACAGCCAGAAACACATAGAAAAACGTAAGGCAGTAAGACCTGTAAGCAGTAAGCGAATTGACTAATTATAATAGAGAATGTAAGGCAATATAACCTTATGTCTCTATTGTAATTGGTCGATTCGCTAATCGCTTACTGTGTTCGCGTCTTATATTTTTCTATGTGTTTCTGGCTTTACAATTAAATGTAATATAACGATGCAAAGCATTTGCTCTCTTATCACAACTTGTTACTTTAATTAATTAATATTAGGTTGGAAGAAAAGCGAGAGCTTGTAGTGCTACAAACTTCAAAATTTAAGCAGCTGTAATTTTGTCAAAATGTACAACGTTTACATGATAACAATAATAATAAATGTGTAAAAAATAAAGAAATAATCACTTTCGTGATATAGTTATATTAATGCATAATATAATTGTAATGATTACTCAAAAAAATGGTCTTGCAGTTATAGGGGAAATTATTTAACAAAATACGAAAAATAGCTAAATTTCTAGCAAGTACTGTGATATTGTATATGTATTGCATCTAATCATATATTAAATGACAGAGATAGAATTTAGATTTGTGCTATAAATTTCATGGGTATGATACATAATTTTCTATCAGATACAAAAAACAGCTATAATTCTAGCTGGAGCATAATGCATAATGGAGCGTAATGCAATATCTAATCAACTATAAATATATTAACATCAAAAAGTAATTATAAAGCATATAGTTAAATTATAATAACTGCAACCACTTTTCTTGTCTCAATATTAGAAAAATAAGATTAATCTACAAAAATAAAATTAGTAACACGTGGCAGTGTAATACAATTAGAATTAATAGCGCAGAGGGCAATTTTGATGTGTTATTTTGTCAGACTGGTGTTAATGCATAATCGTTTTCAGAGACGAAAATTGCCCCAAATCGACCCTAGAGGATGTATCCGCTCATCACGGGCCTGACCCTTCGGCAACCCCGATAGGTTGATCATTTTGCTCTAACAATTCGTTGAATGTGTACATATAGTAAATGTGAAGATGCGATATAGATCTGACATTTTATCTCTGCGTGGTATATACTGGTAGAAATTTTTGTGACTATAATTACATCCTATGTATAATTATTACTGTTATAGTATTAATAATAATAACGAATAGTGGGGATGGAAATGAAGAATTCTGATTGGTTGATTCTCTTATGCGTTATGCGTTATGCGTTACACAAAAGTGTGTGTTCCCCGCTTAACACATATTCTACAATAAGCCATTAGTAATAAATCAGAAGTCAAAAGCTAGAAATTACAGTCAATCACAATCGAATGTGAAAAGAATAATTGACTATGATTGGTTAATTTCTAGCTTCTGATTTCCGATTTATTTGCAAAGTTTTATTGCCGTTTTTATCAAATTTAATGCAAAATTTACACGTTTATACACTATGCGTTATGCGTTATGTAAAAGTCTGTGTCGCGGCCTTTCCACTCATTGTAACAGAATGCTGAAGACTACGGCGATCTCTCTAACTACAGATTCAGACACGTCAATGTATAACGTTCATAAACACCTATGCAGTGTTCCTACATCTAATAAATACCTCGTGGAAAGAGAAACAGAGGCAGTCTTATATATCATTTTTCAATTAGCCTTCGTACATTAATTATACATAATATAATATAAAACTTGCATTATTGTCATTCATATAGTTACCAGCACTAAGTTTTCTCTGAGGGCACTCGGAAGAATTTTTATCCAACTTTTCGGCAAGGAATGTTCTTCTCTTTAGTCTTTGACATCGTCGCCTTAAAATTCACAAATGAAAGGAGCATAATTACTTTCCTAACAGAATTAAAGAAGAGAGGGGGGAAAGAGAGAGAGAGAGAGAGAGAGAGAGAGAGAGAGAGAGAGAGAGAGAACGGAGAGACGCACTTCTCAATCCGCAATTCCTTCCCATTCACGATGACGGAGGATCAGCCGCGGGAAAGCACCTTATACTCGGTTATAGCTCGCGATACCTAATTCCCCGAGAGTTCTTTGATACGCCGTCACGAAGGCCCGCACAAAGGAGAAAATAAGTATCACCTAGTGATAATCTCGAATCCGTGCAATGTGGGACACATATCCTCGTCTGCACTCCGCGATAATTCGACGCGAGCATCGCATTCTCAGTTCTATACATGTCGGTCGTGGACGATTAAATTCTGTATCCAAAATCTCGACGATAAGATCCGAGAACCCGCAAGAAAGTGATTGTTACTACGGCAACTACGGAGATACTATGAAAGGTAGGAGAGAAGGAGTTCTATGAGACGAAAGTGGACCTGATTCGTGACTTCTAATTGAGATCGAGGGAGTCCACTGAAGGGAATAATTTTTTATGGTTGTAAATTAATCATAATCATAATTTAAATGATAAATGTCGAGTATAAGTCAAATGTTAATCAATTATAGATACTTTAAATATTATAATACACTCATTCATTATTAAGTTTTAGAATAAACTTTACATGTTAGGTAATACAACTTGTATCACTTTCTATTCATTTTAGATCCTAGGACTTCGTAATCTACACCTCCTTGCCTTACGCAGGATCTACAACAGAAGTCGTAGCGATCGTAGGGTCTTAAGTCGTGGAAAATTAACCAATCACAGTCGAATATGAGAAGAATTTGCAAGTTGATAAGCCAAATCAAAGAACGAGATCACAAAATTAAAACTTTATCGATGATAGTATAAAACTTATAGATTAAAATTATATTGTATTATATAGAATAAATTGAAACCGCCAAACGTTAAAATGAAAACTTGTCTCATAAGTTAAAATAATATAGTGGAGCCACTGAAAAAAATAAAAAATCAAATTATTAGAACATTATAGAATTTTTATAGAGAGGATCGAGAGGAAAGAGAATGGTAGCAATTCTAAAAATTTTTCGTCCTAGTTGTGTCATGTATGGAACAATACGCGGATTTTCCCGTATATCCCCGCAATATCCCGTATCTCCACTGTCAAACTCGCTTGTCCAGGCTGATGCAAAATTGCCCATTTCCGAGGTATCAAACGCAGACTCCGTTCCGAGACAAAGTCCCGGGACGTGTCTTTTTGATCGCGTCCGCTTTCTCTCGCGACGCTCGTTTATCCGGGGACATTTCCTCTCGTTTTCCAGCTGGACCGTTTACGTAAGAGAAGAGAGACCTCTCTGACAGTCGCGGATGGACGGTTGCACGAAACGACTCCGTTCGCTCGTTTATGTATTTCCGCTCGGGTGGCTCGCACGGGTCTTCCGGGTCTTCGTCACGTCGCGTCGTGCCGCGCGCGTTTCCAATCCCCTTCAAAGGAAACCGCAACGCAGAAACGGTCAGTATCGTCTAATGATGTGGTCGAACTGCTCTCGACGAACATGTCGAGACGAGCTACGACAAACTGGTACCCGATTGTCATGCTCGTAAGTTTATCATCGTGTTACATCGAAGGAACAATGATTTATCTTTCAATAATACGACTGAATCGCATTCTATTGTTAATTCATATACTGATAAAGATTGTTATGTTAATGCTCGATGCTCTTATTTAAGTTATTATATTTTAGCGAGAAATTATATGATATCCACAGTAAAAAAACGTCTATAAATAATTAAATATAAGTATGTTTTCTGTCTTTTATATAGTAATCTGTTCGTATACAGGAAAAATAATAACAAGAAGAGAGAGAGAGAGAGAGAATTGAAAAATAATTTAAAAAATAATTTTCGCATTGTTTTTTAAAAAATAGTTTTTGAAAAGTAAAATTTGAGAAAAAAATTGCTTGTATAATAATATATAAAATTGCATATGTAATTATATATAGATTATTCTACAAAATTGTAATTGCAATTATATTTTTTATAAAGAAAAACAATGCAAAAATTATTTTTTTCTAATTATTTTTCAATTATTTCTCTTCTTATTTTTCCTATATATATATATATATATATCGATAAAAATTATACAAGAAAAAGAAAATAAAAATATTTACATGAACATATCTTGTATATAATTATGTATATTTATATTTGATTGTATATAGACTTATAAAAATTATACACGAAAAAGAAAATAAAAATATTTACATGAAAATATATTGTATATAATTATGTATATTTATATTTGATTGTATATAGACTTTTCTTTACGATAGTCTAACGATAGAATAACCCTAGAATAATGATATTTTATTTAAAGTGTCGTTGAGTATAATATTCATGTTTACGAACAATTAAAATTAATATTATTATTATTATTATCAGTAATAAACATAATTATAATTATTCTTATCATTATTTACGAGAGATAAACGAGCTAGGAAATACGTCAAACGTCAATGTTTACTAAATAGAATTATACAATAATAGTATAAACAAATACGCGGTTTCGCCTTTTTGTCATAGGTTTTGTTATAGGTTCATATTTGAATTGAATTTGAACGACGTTGACGTCTCGATTCATAATCTTCAATTTCGGAATCCGATAAAGATAAGAGTGACGGCGTGGAGATACTGACGATTCTCTCGTCTTCGGTGGACGACTGAGATGAGTTGAAGAAGTTGCAGCAAGTATCGTAGAGGTTTCGGCTAAATTTGTAAGCATGCGACAGGATGTCTTGAGGCTAGGGGAAACGTTATCGCGAATTAGATGCGCACTTACAAATCCTGATCACAGATATTATTAAACGCACGGATTTATTTATCGATAGATTTTCAAATGGTTGAAAATGATAACTATTTTTCAACATATAAATAAATACAGCTTTTATTTTTATTTCTATATATCTAAAGTACAGAGTATTCCATTTTGTGACTTGATCTTGATTTGACCTTGACCTGACCTTAACGATGCCATTCAAAGTCAAATCAATGACACTTTCTTATGTCCCCCTCCGAATTATACAACTTCTGTTTAAAACATTTTTCCGTATTTACCATAGTTTTTAAGAAAACTTAATGCATTATTTAAAATGGGACACTCTGTATGTATATGTGTATATATATATATATGTACATATATGTATATATATTATATATATTATATATTGTATATATATATATATGTATAGATGATATAGATGTACGTACATATTGTATATGTATATATCAACCAACGCCTGAAAATTAGATAATTAGGTAAATAATATGTTGCGTATGCCACTATTTCAATTAATTACAACAAAGATGGTCATATTATACATATAAATCTGATATTTGGTAGTTAATAAAATAAATTGTAAAATATAAAATCGTCTACTAATATGACGATCATTAGAAAATCAGTAATTATGGTATAACAAAATTACAGTAAAAATTTCTCTACAAGATTTCTACGTGAATACATACGTAACGCGTGTATCTCGCTCTCAGCTTCATTTTCGCCCTCCTCTCGCAAAGTATCAGATTCTTCGTAAGGTCTCTCACGACGTCGTTCACCTTCCGATCGAGCGTGTCGTTGGTATAACTACTATCCGAGCCGGAATCAACGGCAGTCGACGGTCCATCGAGTTTCTCGGCGCGACGTTTCTTTTCAAACTTCGATTTGCCGGCGTAAAAGGACCTCTCGGCGGGATAAGGATCGATTAGGGATGAGCTGAATACGCCCGAGTCTATCGAACCGACGTACCTCGACGACTTCGACGTCTCAAACGTGGAATCGGCCGTATACCGTTTCCCAGTTCGCCATTCTTTCTCTCCGCTCTTCTCAAGAGGAGGATGTTCCCAATTACAAATTCTATTCTTCGCGACACTCTCGCGACCTTTGGGTACCTCAAACGTGTCGTCCGACTTGTTTACCATTCCAATTAAAGATTTATTCGGAGTGGTGTATTGCGCGGATGGATTGAAACGCGAGATATATTCGAAGCTGGAACACGAACAATCGAGACTGGAGTCTAAGTTCGAGAGCGAATAATTATTCAGACTGAAGTTCGAACGCGAATCGTAATAATGGTAGTTCGAATGCGACTCAATCATACTATCCACAGTCTTGACAGCAAGCTCGTCCTCGTTCTCCGTTAACGAAACCAAGCTCGGAATTTGCGTGCAGGAGAAGTACTTGGAAAGGGCAGAATTCTTGTTCGAGCACTCGCTCATAGCACCAACTGACATTGAGCCGTGAATTTGTATCTCGGTCGGCTCGAGATTCGTTGCGACGATCAACGGCGTGGATTTGGATTTCTCGATTATCGTCACTGACGGCACATCGATGACGTTGTTACGAAAATTACTGCTTTTCCGGGAAATGGTGCAAAAATCCTCCGTGTCGTTCTCGCTCCTCTCACCTGGGGGATCATCGAAGTCTCTATCGATTCTTCTCTTGATGTCCTCTAGAATGGCTACCTCGCCTACCTTCTCCTCAAAGGTCTTCTTATAATATCTCGATTCTTTCAAATCGATAGGACTTTCAGCTAAATCTTTTTTGTGCGTATCATTATTTAAGATTGTAAAATTATTTTTCAGATAAACTTTGTCAAAGGATTCATTTTTGATAGAGAATTCCTGAAGCTCATCGTTCTCGTTCTTTATTACATCTAGATCGAGGGACAGTTGTTTGATAAAATGATATTTCGCCTTCTTGTTCCTACACAGTTGAAAAATTTTTTATTGTGTTAAATTTAACACATTCATTCGTCCCAAACGGTCCGATTAAATTTTTGTGTTAATTTAATAAAAGATAAACATGCTCTAGCATGTAACACAAACATTATATGAAAATTAATACAAAAAAATGTAACATTTTGATTCAAATTTAGAAACAAATTATGGAAGCATATTTCTTCAATAAAATTAACATTTATAATATGTCAAATTAACACATACATTCATTTTTCATTCATATATCTAAAAATTTACGTTTTAAAACTACATTATTTTTATGTTATTGGTTCACTTATAAATTGCATTGTTTTTAATGACTAAGAAGTTTTAAATATTAATTTAACACAAATCTATTTAAATAAGTAATCATATTATGTTAAATTAACACTCGGATGTGTTAAAAGTTCAACACCAAAATTTTAACAAGGACCGATTTTAACACAAATATTTTTTACTGTATAGAAATCCTATTTGAAGAATAAACTGTCTCCATCGCTCGAACAATGTCACGTCCGAAAGAATCGTTTGGATTTCTCGAAGAAGAAATAACGTCCTTTGCAGAGAAGACTATTTCATTATTATTGCTATTAACGTGCAAAATCTCGGACACATTTTTACTTGTGTCACTTTTCAATTCTCCAATAATCCTTTTAATGTTTACCAGACCATTCTTTTCTTTCGACGTATTTTTTTCTCTTACAATTGTCGACTTGTTTTCGACGCCACTCCAATTTACTTTCGTGTCGTCGGATATTGATGAAAAGTATTCATCACAATTCTCCAGATTATTTCGCGAGCTCTCGTCACTGCAGCAGGTATCTCGTAGCGTTGCCGTTATCTCCTCTATCTGCCGATTCACGGCCGTGAATTTATTGATATACTCGGCGCGCTTGTTCTCCAGAACTCGAACGCGCAGCCATGGCTCATCGTGATGGCTTTGTCTACTTGAACTATGCGAACCAATACGAAAATCCGTGGCAATTCGCGGCTCGTTATTGTAATGTTTCCGATAAGAGATTCTTTCAGTAGCAGGCTTCGATTTTCTCTTAATTTTTCTGCGTCGCAAATTCTTTTTGTTCGAGGTTTGAATTTGTGCATCTCTAGTCATACGAAAACTATCACAATTATGATCTTTCCTCATAAAAGGATCCTTACTGCCATCAGGTATAAAAGAGTGATCGTCAATGGCACGATCATTCCGCAAAATGTCTGATGCAATTTTTTTCTCTTCAACATGTTTATATAATTGATTATGATGAGAATTATCATTACTCTCTTGAGTTTGATTATATTTACGGATGATCTCCATCGATTCTGTACAATCGATTATCATTGTCTGGCGATCTGTATGCGCTTTAAGCGACATAGCAACTGTTGATAAGCTTGATGTTGGAGCTGATTGTGTGATCCAATATTTGCATATGATCATAGGTCTGAAAAATTATTGCAAAAATATAATTCCTTCACAATTTCCAATGTGATATTAACATAATGTTTAACGGTAAAATTATGGAGTTTATAATGTAATATAAGTCAAAATCTTTTTAGGTAATAGGATTACTTTTAGATATACCTCATACAATAACAGCTATGTTTGCAACGATTAAAATATGTATAAATTGAAGCTTTCTCTTGAAACACTTGAAATATATACATATACACATACATATGTTGTCGAGCAAAAGTTTGAAATTACATAGATGTAAAGTTTAAGAATATTCCAGTAAAATACTACTTAAAAGTTCGATTCGTGCTTCACTTAATATTTTTTCTTAGTTTGAAAATAAATAGGTATTATATTTAGCACAGTTGTGATTGACGTAACATTATATTTAATTTCGAGGAAACGGACTACGATCATAAAACCTTTTTTTTTTTCCAAAATAAGGATTATTTTATAGAACTATGTAGACTATTTTATAAAAGATGATTGAAAGAGTCTCCTGTTAGAAAAAATAAACTAAATTAATTAATTAACTTGCAGTTAGATTATTTAGATTAGCAAAAAGAATGGTAACTACTTTGATAAAAAAGAACTTAATATTCTTTAGTGTTTTCTTATAAAAAATTTTCTTTGCGCAAACAATATTTTCTGGATAATTATGCAATATAAGGGACCATTCTCCAATGACCTTGACCTTGACATATGTTGTTAAGGTCATGACCCCGAGTGACCTTGAATAAATTTTAGCCGTCGCTCGTTGTTCGTTAAAAAGTTATTAACAAAAAAAGGTTCTTCAATAAAACCTAACTTTTGGACATGACTGCGCTCCGATAAGACAAATTTCCCTGCTTTAACAACACAAAATATTTTCTTATATAATTTTTGTGTCTTTAGAGCATAGAGAATTTGTATTTTTAACGCAGAGAATTTGTATTTTTAAAAACATAGGATTTGCGTTTTAAAAGAAAAAAATGTGGTTTTAAAGCAAAGAATTTGTGTTTGGAGGATGGTCCCTTATACTGCATAATTACCAAAATATGTTCAATCACAATGCATAAGTTTGATTTCATTTCATATAGTGGACATTTTCAATTAATAGGTTTCAAACTTTTGGCCGGCGGTGTATCTAAATCTAATTATATTTGAAAATGTTTTCTTTCTTCTATTTTCAAGTGTCAAGTTGATATGAAATTCATCAAGAAATGTTACTACCTGCGATCAATATTGAAACGTTTCTTCAAGTTGCTTATCGTGTCATACGAGCTTGAGAGATAATCGTTGTCGCTCAAATTTCTCGCGCCACAATGCAAGCCAATGGAATAGATCTTTGGGACTTCCGGGACCAAATTTCTTTTATCATGTCGTAATACCGTGTCGCATTTGTCGTTACAACTACATCGATTATCGCGAAGATACCTCATCAAGAATTCCGGACGCCAGTTTCGACGCATTCGTATGTATGACAGAAAATCGCCAGGATACCAAAAAACACTCTTCAGCTGGTCAATCATAAGTGATGCTGACGTTCGCGCTACTTTGAGCCTCTTACGCGGCGAATTACGTTGTCGATGCTGCGTGTCTTGAGAGAAACCACTCTCGCGTCTGCGAGATAACGTGAATGCAACTTTCATAATTAATTACTAATCGCGGAATGCGTTACAATTCTTTGAATCTTGAGATCCATGTGGTCTTAAGTCCATGTCATTATGCGCATTGAAGATTGAAAATTGCGAAATGGAAATTAGTGTTCAACCAATTAGACCGAAAAGAAATTTTGAATTTAAAATTATTTGACTGATAGAATTCTAATCGTCAATTCGGAATTCTTAATCTCCCATGCATAGGGTGACACTGGCTTTGGAAGATTAAAGCGCTAAATGCACAAAACGTTAAGGTTTCAGATTTTCAAATTTTTTGATCCAGAATTAATGTATGACATAAATAGAATTAATCCAGTATTGATAATATAGATATATGATGTTTCAGACATTTGTATCTGCACGTTTGCAAACGCGTAAATTTTTAGATATCGAGATCTTTGGATTCTCAAATTGTTAGATTTCTAGATCAGTAGAGCTGTAGGCTTTCTCATTTGATAATACATATACATATTTTATACATATACGTATTTTATACATATTTATATAATGTATTGTAATATGTATTTTATATAATAAACATAATCTCTTTGAATTTTTGTCTAATTTCTTTAGATCATTAGTCTTCAACAGTTAGTATTTACGATTAATTAAAACATTGATAAACTTACATACGTACGACGTTGAAGAGATTCGAAGATGAACATTCCCCACCTTTAATATCCTCAAAATCCATGATAGTAGAGTCACAAATGTATGCGTGTACGTGTATGCGATCTTTATGACTTGTTTCCGTCACTAAAAGATATAATAATACTCCACACAAATATCAGAAATACAATCAAAAATACAGATTCGATACAAACGCGATTACTTATTACTTATTACGTTTTTGGAAATATACTGAAGTAAGAAATCTGATAAAAATATAATAACCTTCTCGTGAGCGCTATTTAATTTTATCTACATCTCAAACGTAACACAATTTGATGTCACTTTAGATATCATTATAATTCGACGATCGATGTGAAGATACGTTTGGAGTTTTTAATCGTCGTAAATACATAAGGTAATTCGATTTGACAGATCAGTAGGTTAGTTTTTACGCAAGCATGAGATCGTTGCACGAAAGTTAGCGTTTCCCATACCTATCGGCCGTCCATTCATTTGCCCCTGCACGAATTTCGTGATACTGAGTTTTGGAATGGAATTTGATGAAGGGACATGAAAGAGAAACTGCGCAAGTTAACAAAATTACGTTGTTATGTTTAAACCGTTCTTAAACATATTGCAGATTGCTGACGTTTCGAAAAATCTCGATACCAGTTAATCATTGCAATTTGAAGAACAAAATGTTTTAAATAATAGAAGATACAGTATAGTGAGCAAAAAATACGCCTTTATCTTATTTATATAATTAATGTCCACATAATTGTTCAACAGCGGCATAATAGCTGATTTTGTAATCATTTACTCATAATATATTAAAAAAGTCAATGCGAGCTAACATAAATTATTGTGTAATTAATGTGTAAAAATATATTAAAAGAACAAATAATAATTTAGACATTTAGACCTTTACTTTGGATCATTTTCGCTATAATGCGAAAATCAGATTGTTGAGATGAATATCTCAACTGACTGATATATCAAATCAAAGAAACTTTAGTCTAATAATAAGAATAAAATGTCAAAAGCTGAACGTCTTCAGTGTTTGATAGAATATTTGAATTGAGAGTTCAAACTAAAATAACAGTAACAGTCAGTATGAAACAATCTTAAACTATTAATTAAGTAAAACTTACATTAATAATAAAATTACAATGTCGGATAAGTACAAAATAAAATTAGTGACGTGTCGAATAGAATACACAGAATAAAATAAGTGGAATAAAGGATATGTTGTAAACTTATGAGAGACAGTCCAGTGGATAAATGTGTTTATACAAATAGATTAATAAATAAATAAAGTATGGAAAAATCAAAATTCTGATGTGGCAAAGTCACAATATAACGTATCTAAAAGATCCATATTATTCTGCAAATTTCAATCATGCTTTTATTTTCAAATAAATATCTCGGAAATCAATTTCTTATTTAAATTTATGTCTTTTCTTCAGTTATCTTGATGTTATTTCAATCAAATTCCTGCGTCCAACATCTGATTTTATTGTAAAAAAAATATTTATTAATCCGTCAGTACTATACTAAAGATGATAAATTATAATATATTTTTACACACAAATAATTTATATTTACTCGGATTGACTTATTTTGAGTAGATGATTTATTTCTTGGAACTTTTTTGCGTTGTTATATATTACAGATTTTATACATTTCGATGATACTACGTTATAGGTAATGAATTTAACGTACATGTAAGAAATATTTTAAAGTAAAATTTTAAAGACATAAAGTTGGATACTATCTATAATGAGAAAAAGAAAGAAAAAAAAGAAAGAAAGAAATGATAGACAAATCGGTTGATAGAGTGCCGTATAGATGTAGGATAACTCCGGTATATACGCCGCACCTAGCGAAAACTTAATTTATTAAGTATTATTTATTATGTTTAAAATAAACGAACTATATCAGTAAAAACTTTGTACTGTCTACTACTATGAAAAAAATATTAGAAATCCGAAATATTTATTTTTCGTATTAAAAAATGAACTTTTTGAAACCCTTGCATTTTTGCCGTATATCCCACCCATAAGGGTGGGATATATGGCTACTCATAGCGGGAGAGAAGGGTATGTATGGCTCATGAAAAATTTACAAACAATGCTTATAAATAAGACATAAAATAACACAATAACTTATAAAATACAGTTTATAAAGTTTCATTAAGGAATAAAAATGATAAATATGTATATGAAGTAATAAATAATAATTACAATTTTCCTACATATTAATATTACAAGTGTTATGACATAATGTACATATTTACATGTAATACATGTAATACATTCATTGCATTTAGTGCATTGAATTCAATCTACGCACTTTGTATACTTTGGGTATAAATCCCATCCGCTAAAAATGCCGTATATCCCAAACAGGTGGAATAGATAAGACAGCGAACTAAACAAAGAATACGAAAGCAAAGCACTTGTATTTTGCTATAAAACATGCTTTACTTTATTCCTCTACAGAGATGTATCACGAAATAACTACTAGGTCTTTTATACGCCCTATATAGTAATCATTTTATGTAGATTATAATTTATGATGGGGCGCTACTTATTACAGTGACAAATCGATTCAACTCATAATAATTTCATTAATATTACAATAAGAAGCTGAAATCATAATACAATACTAATATAACATAAAGGCATGTAACAGAATGGTTGCGGGAAAATTACCCCCACTCCTTCTATTTTTTCTGACTTCTGCGGCGTAAATCCCAGCGCGGCGTATTTGCTGGAGTTACTCTATATAATGTTGTAATCAAAGCTCGTAGTGGTCTAACTAATGGTAAGTATTAAAAATATATTCTCATATTATAGTTAATTTTTTACTGATTTAAATTTCTATATAGACATAAATAAAAGAAAAAGAAAATTAGTAAAACACGTGCTTTTCAAAAAATCAGTTTTTATAATAATTTCATTCATTCTATGTCACAATTAAATCTTTTCAATATGCGTAGGTTGAGTGTTGTAAATAACTTATCTAAAAAAGGCATCGATATATTTACTTAAAAAAAAAAAAAATAATAATATATATATATGATAAAGAATTTAATTTTCCGCATTTTTTTCGCTCGCTATTGTATACATAAAATAAAATACAATAAGTTTAGAAATCTAATAATTTGTTTTTCCTAATGAAATCCTAATTCTTCTTCTTTCATGAAAAAAGAGAAGAGTTAAATTTTGTCGAAGTGAAATCGATGTTTCATTAAAGCGATTGAAAGGGACGTCCCGTGGCAGAGCGAGTATGTAGGTTGCTATAAAATTCTCTATACAACCGTCTACGATCGTCGTAGTGTTAAGTCATGTGCAAAGGAATGTTTCATTATATAGCCGAGCTAATTAGCCTACGCATTTAATAAAGACTGCCTCCTCCTCTATGTATAACACATTATTATTGCTCACAGCATTCCGCTTCTAAGCGCTTCAAGCACAAGCCGAGAACTTTTGAGAACATTGGAGAAAGTTTATAGTTTAAAAATATATCATCTGCTTTCTATGTTCGATCCAAACAACTTAATCTGTTATATATATATAAGTTTAGGATTCTTAAAAATTAATAATTTTATAGATTCTAAATTTTTTTTAGTAACTTGCCTATTAAAAATGTACAGTACATATCAAATACAAGTTTTCTTTTATCTCTTCTCTGTATCGCTTTGATAAAATAAATTTATAACAAGATCCATGTAGAGCAGGGTTTTTCAATCGATGTACCGTAACGCCCGTGATGCATTGCCTATAGATAGTAAGATATTGTCTATTCGAAGTCATTAATTAGCATAAAGATGATCGTAACTGAGTCGTGAAACGTGAGTCGTAGGTCAACGCACAATGTTTTGATCAATCTACAACTACGACTTACGTTCCGCCCTTGCCCTCCGACTCTTGTTGCTGCCACTCTCCTTTCTCACTTTTTACGACTCAGTTAAGGTCATCTTTTTTCTTTAAAAAAAAAGGACCTTGCTCAGATCCTTAGTCATTCTGATAATCTGACGTATGCGAATCTGATGTTTAAAATGACGTTCAAACATCGTAAAAATGACATCGCAGCCACATAACCGGTATATAAACGTCATAAACTGACAATGTGTCATTATTTTCATGGGAATAATTGTCAATAATTAAAAAGCACAATAATGACCAACCATTGACGTCAAAATGACGATAGCTTGTTATCTGGGTGGTATGCTGCGAAAATTTTGAAGAAAAAAAAGAAGTAAAAAAATTTAGAAATAAGTAAAAAAAGTATTAAGTGAGGCGCAAAGTAAAAAATATTCTAAAACATTTTGTGATGATTATATTATGTTTACTCTCATTTTAATCAAAACGATATCATCATTGAAAAGAAATTACTTTTAAAACTATAAAAAAAGATAGAGTTTAAAACTTTACTTTTTATTTTGAATGCTGCGTCTTATAGCGGTATCTGATAAAAGACATATGCTGAACGTGTGGCACCTATAATATAACGTACCTCGAAAGTTTGGCTCGTTATTTAATTTAATTTAATGTGCCGCGAACTGAAAATTATAATGATATAAAGAAATAAATCACAATACTGTAAAACTTTAGAGATAATTTATTGAGATTGATTGTATGAACAACCGACGCTGACGCCACGATCAAATTCATCCGCGTGTAAGATTTAATCGGACGCAATTCGTCGGTGTGCCTGTTGCGGATATTCTGAGAGACCTTTCGTCACATTAGGGTACATTCGCGTGGTTCGGTCGCTTTCGTGTCAAGTTCGTCGCTTCGCCACTCTGCCCGCCCTTGCCCTCCGACTCTTGTTACTGCCACCCTCCTTTCTCACTTTTAACCGCCTCTTCCGAGCACTTGTTGCATGCCCGTCCACCCTCGAAAGATCGAGAGAGATCGTTACTACCAAAATTCCGAATGCTTGTCGAGACGTCTTCGAAACTTAAATAAGCCACAGGAAAATCGATCGACGGGAGGAGAGTCGTATGATTCTCTCTCTCAGCTTAAAATAATTCGCTTTCTCTCGATTATACGTACGATGAGGATAATTTGTGTCGATGGAATCCTTTTAACCGCTAAATACCTACTATTCTATTCGGTTTTGTTTCCTACACTGTAAAAAAAGTATATTAAATTTTATATAAAATTACATAAAAATAATATATGTAAAAATTACATAATTTGTAATAAAAATATATAAAATTGCGTTTACAAAAATTAATACTTTCATCTCTAATTATGTAAATATACACAACAGAAAGAACGGTTTTGCTAAAATATCTAAAAC